AAGGCAGTGTTTTATGCCTTAAGCCTTTGTCTTATGTAACGCACAATACTGTGTTAATGTTTTCTGTCTTGTGTAGTATACGCGACGTGACGCCACGTTTTAAGGAATAAACGTAAAACGTATGTACAATATAAATAACAATTCTATTATACAATTAATAATGAATATTTTATAAATAGTTATGATATAATACATTTTAAACTTATTAATATGTAATAATAATATTTCATATTCGAAATATATTTTAATAACTGTGAATATAACCTAACTTTTTTGTTCAAAGAAATTTATCTAATGTACTTATAAATAAAAATGTTCTTCTTAATTAAATATTATTTGATTTAATAGTATTATATGTTTAAAAATCTTGTCAATTATTAAAATTGTATAATATTTAATTTAATTTATTTTACAGAAAACAATTTTAATTTCGGGTATATTAAAATGATGCATAGAAATAAGCAATTTTTATTGCTTGTTTTACAATGGATGCTTTTATATAAATTATTAAAACGAAAAAAAAAACAAATTAGATGGTATAAAAGAAGATGGTACGTGCGACCAATAAACCAACTGAGATACAAATACGGAGCTTATGAGACACTTTTCCAAGATTTAAAAAATGATGAAAATTTATTTTTTCGTTATACGAGAATGAATTTATGTTTATTTAACAAATTACTTCAATTAACTGAACCTCATTTAACAAAAAATAGCTATCGAGCATTTCCTGCAGAACAAAGATTGATAATAGTATTAAGGTATATAATTATATAAGTAATTACTTTATTATTTTTTCAAAATAATTATATTTTGTAGAAATAACAATAAAAAAGAAATTTTATTAAAGTAACAAAGACAGATTCTGTGGTAGACTAAAACAAGTATTCTAGACTAAATATAAATGTTGAATAATGGAAAATTAATCATCTTTTTATAATAAATAATATTAATAACATAGATATTTTAATGAAAATGTATTTCAGATATCTTGCCACTGGAGATCTTCCTTTGTCTATCGCTCTATCATTTCGAATTGGTGAATCAACAGTGCGTATGTTAATTACAGAAGTATGTCAGATATTAATAAATGTATTACAACCACTGTATCTATCACAACCAAGTGAAGAAGAATGGAAGTCGTATGCTGAAGGATTTTGGAAGAGGTGGAATGTGCCAAATTGTGTAGGGGCAGTAGACGGAAAACACATTACCTTGCAATGTCCCCCTAATTCGGGAAGTCTTTTTTATAATTACAAAAAATATTATAGTATTGTTTTGATGGCAGTGGCAAACCATGTATATAGATTTACGTTAGTTGATGTTGGTGCATACGGTGGTAACAGCGATGGCGGAATTTTTAACGATGCATTAATTGGAGAAATTTCAAAAATGAAAATTTAAATCTACCAAAGGGAACGTTCAAATTACCTGGAAGTCAGATCTGTACACCAACTTTTTTATTGGCAGGCGATGCTTTTGCATTAAATACGAGAATTATGAAGCCATATACCGGAAGAAACTTAAATGAAGAACAAAAAATATGCAATTATAGATTTTCTCGGGCTAGGCGAACAGTCGAAAGCGCATTTGGAATATTTTCCAATAGATGGAGAATATTTCGACAATCCATTTGTATGCTGCCAAAAACAGCCGATTTGATGACAACAGCATCGCTTTGCTTACATAATTTTGTAATGGTTGAAGAAGAACGCTGTAAACTAAAGTTATATAGCACAACTGAATTTCTTGAAAACGATACAAATAATCAGGTAAAATAAACATTTAAATATTTGTATTCTGCATTAAAAAAAATATATATAACTTAATTTTATGTTTAAACTTTTGATAAATTAAAAAAATTTTAATATTAATAATTAATATAATAAAATAATTAAATAAATGCAGATACATTATGTGTATATAATATTGTTATTAAAATATTAATTACTGTATATTTTATAAATTTAATTAACCATGTTATTTTTATTTATAAAGGAAATGCAGTGGTTGTCTTCATCGGAAAACCTATGTTATAATGAAACCGTATCTTCTGCTTCGAAACAAAGAGACACATTGTGTAAATATTTTATATCACCTGAAGGAGAAGTACCGTGGCAATACGATTACGTGCAAAGAGGAACATATGGTGAAAATATTTAATAATATTATAAAAATAATGGTTTTTATACACATACATTTAATTTTTAGTTATTTATTTAATCTTATTCTTTCTAATAAAATGTTAATATGAAAAAAGAATGTGTTCAAGAATTATATAGCTTGATATTTTTTAGCACTTTTTTGACAACATAATTTCTAAACTGAGCTCTACTTAAGTAAAAAAATGAATAAGATAAAGTTAGAATCTTTATATATATATATAGTTCTTGTTTTATATATAATTAGAGTTTGACAATAATGTCGTACCGATTTTGCATGTTGTTATATGTAAAGTTTATATACCAATTATCTCCTTACTGCTAGATCAATTAATATTAATTTCTACAACCTAATTAACTTTATTTACTGAAAGTTTATACATTGCAGCAATTAAGAAAAGGTTTCTTTATAGTGAAATGTTACAAACAAAATATTAATGCACATAGTATTACCTACATTTATTAATTATTATTTTTATTTATTAATGAAAGTCATTTATATATTTTGTTTTTATTGTATTTGTCTTTAGTCATACGGCATAATGTTTCAACTATAATGTTAGAATTTTACAATAAAGCTTTAAAGTTAATCTAAGTTGATGTGTATCTAGTAATAAAGATATATGTAAATAAAAACAAATACCACAAATCGAATTTTGTATCTAATAATTATATAATTAGCAAGATATACATTACAAAGGTATACAAATGAAGCAATTAAATAATAAACATAGTTAATAAGGAAAGTGCTTTAGAACTATTAATTAACACATACAAATCATGCACATATCAGATCATCTATCACATATCTATCATCTATCTAAGATCACCTATCACATAAATAAAAAATCTTAAACAAAAATATTGTTTTGCGTACTAAATAATAAAATTATATTAGATTTAAAAAACAATGTAACTAAAAATATTACTTTAAACTTAAAATCTTACTTAAAAGAAACAGTCCTTTTTACAATATCACATATAGTAATGTATCACATATTGTATTAAACAATACTTCAGTAATAAAAAAAAAATACTTTATGAAAAAAATAAAAATGATTACAAACAAAAAATATTACATTCTTTATAGTAGAGAAAATAAAGCATCTGTTAACATTTTCTCTTTCATATTTTAAATATGAAAATATTTCTCATACTTTCTTATACTGAAAATATTATTTTAAACTTAAAATCTTACTTAAAAGAAACAGTCTTTTTTCCAATATCACATATAGTAATGTATCACATATTGTAATAACAAATACTTCTGTAATAAAAAATAAAAATATTTTATGAAAAAAATAAAAATTATTAAAAACAAAAAATTTTAAATTTTTTATAGTGAAGAAAATAAAGCATCTGTTATCATTTTCTTTCTTATATTTTTCTCAGATTGTGGAAGATTTGTCAAGTGAGCAACAATAAATTGTGCAAATGCTTCGTCTTCATTATTGTTTTCACGTTTGTTATCTAAAACATTCATGATTTTCTGGCTAACCGATGTAAACATATTGTCTAATTCCTTTGTTTCATCGATTTTACTTTTTTTAGATTTAGGTTTTGTATGTAATACGACTGATGGTGAATCTTTGTCAATGTTGTGTTTATGTGTTACGTGTGTTTCACGAGTATCTTCTAAAATATTTTCTTTATTATTTTCACCATTAAAATTATTATCTTCTGTTTCGTGCATAGAATGACTTGATTTTTCTTTGGTATCAAATACTTCATTTGAACTAAATTTTGGAATTTTTGTTGACAGTTCTAAAGATGATGTAGATGTTGAAGCTTTATTTGGTTTTATATTACTGCATGTTCTGAAAATATAAGAATATATAAGTATATATACATATTATACTATTAAAATACGGATTTTTAAGCAATTATCATTATAAACCTTCGTCTCTTGATATAATTGTCAAGAAAAGATAATTGAGTATAAAATGCAAAGGGTTTATGAGTTGAAGCACCACTTCCACTCTTATATTGACTATCTATTATTCGTTTCTCACGATTATATTGATTTCTTAGAGATGTGCATCTAGTTTGACAATAATCAGGTGTATATAAGTTGCCTGTAAAAATGTTGAGATTTTATCATTATAATTAGCATAATATATATTAGCAATAAGACATAATAAAAGATATTAATTAAAAATATTTGATATTTACCATAATTTTTATTTTGCATGATTTTAGAAATTTCTTTCCAAGCATTATCTTTAATTATTATGTTTTTAAAATCTTTGTGTCCTTTATTGTACAGAAATGGTCGTTCTCTGTATAATTCAATTAGAAAAGCATCACTGTCTTTTTCTTCTATAGAAATATTATTCTCATTTGACACTTCATTGTCT